TTTTTTTTTTTTTTTAATGAAACAGCATAACTTCACGAAAAGAACACTGACTTCAATGCTAGGAAGATCTAGGCTCAAATCCCAATAGTAGACTAGCTTGTAACCTTAGCTAATTCATTTCTCTCTGAATCTCTGCTTCCCCATTTTTATCTGTCTTTTGCAGACAATTCTGAAAATTAAATGACAAGCAGAACCTTACTGTATACACACACACAAACAGTTCTAACTTACCTTTCTTCCCACATTCCTATCATTAACAACCTGGCTAAAGTTACTGCACTACTTCTGAACTGGAATGGACTGTTAGTGGAGAGGGGATAATGACTCTATGAGGTGAGACTTGTCAGGGAGGAAGAAGACATCATACAGAATACAGATAAATGTATATGTCTGTTTAAACTCCTTATGATTCTTAAGTATTCCTCCAGATGGTCTATGTTTCAATGAATTACTAAATTAATGGGTAATTTTAGGAAACATCACAGTTTGGTCACTAACATAAATGGACTTTATACTATAGCTGTGAATTCACATTGTCTTGCTTTTACACACACACACACAATGATCAAAATTAAACTCAAAACAAGATTCTTGCCTTTTGAAACAACGTAAAATTGATTTAACGCATATCCACAATATTGGCAATTATTTCAAGGTATGAAAAGTATTGTTGAATCACTGCTGATGAATACAAATGGATATGATTACGGTGGAAAACAATTTGGCATTATCCACTAGGGATGAACACATTACTTCCCTGCAATTCAGCAATTCCAGTCCTAAGTTTATATTAGAGCTTAGACATTTACACCAAGAGATATGTAGGAAGAATTTCATGATAGTAATAATTTCTTAGAAATACAAGAATCATATAACAACTCCCATGTCTATAAATGAAAAATTAACTGCAGAATAATAATAAAATGGCAAAGTTAAAACCATAATACAAATGAATTAAAACACATTTTGGGTGCATCCCAAAAACAAAATATTGAGCAAAGAAAGGATAGTAAAAGTATTCCACTTATGTTAATTTAAATACTAAGTGAAACTAAACAACACATTGTTTAGAGATACATATGGTGGATTATGAAAAAAGAAAATTATTATTAATACAAAATTCATACTACAGATTACTTATGTAGTGGAGGGGCTGAGCTATAGCCCAAGAAACTATATGGGGACTCCAAGTAATTTATAATTATTCTGTGAGGACCTTCTCTGCATTAACAATATTTCAATTTTTTTTTTAAAGACAGCGCAGAAAGACTAACGGATAGGAATTCAAAGCAAATCAAGCGCCAAGTCATGCACTACATAATACACTTCTCCACACACTTCATACAAGATCCTGATCTTTTCACAAATAATTCTAGCATTTACGCAAAAATTTTAAGAAACTTAAAATTCACCAAAAAAAAAAAAAAAAGTTCTTCATGCTATCCAAAATTCCTCCGTATGTTCCCAAGAAGGCAAAACTTTCAACTCTGTGAAGTTTAGAACAGAAAAGATGCCTTCTGTTTACATTAAGTAAATAACTTCTCTTTATCTATCTATTATAAGAATGGACAGTTTTACATGAGCATTAACACCTGTTCCAGTAAAAAAAAAAGCAGCAAAGTAATTAAGCAAGGCATACTCTGGGTAGGGTGGGTTTGATACGGAGCACTAGACTGAATGTTTAAATACTTCAGTTTCACCTTGTTTTAGCCACCTGGCATTATACGGTTTGGAACGAAAGCAATTACAAATGTAAAATGATGATCAAATCAAAGTCACTAATTACCAAATGGGTTTTTGCAAAGCAGGTACCTGGGATACGCATCTCTCCAAAGGGGAATACAGTCACCGCCTCCAAAATTACAGCCAAAGGGGAGTTACAATTTTTTCATTTCTGCCTATTCATGAACCACTTTCTCCAATTTCTTGACAGTGGTATCCACCCTATCATCCCCAACTTCTCCTCAAGTTACCATTCCCTACCTTCTCAAACAGCGCTACCCGAGCCAGCCCTCTGTTGCCTCAGCGAAAACATCTCCGCACAGCCCCTGACTGACTGCCGGCAACCTCGCCTCTAAACGCAAGCCTCAGGGTGGATGTCCCCAGCTCCGAAAGCGGCTGCGGCTTCGGCCTGGCCGTCCGCCCAGACCTCCACGCCCGCGTAGCCGCACCCACGGACTCTCGGCGCCCCTCGTCGCCGCGCTCTCTGCCCGTCTCCGCCCTCCCCAGGCCCAGCTCTCGCGCCCTTCGCAAAGCCCCCGGCCCCTCTTCACGCACCGGGCGTTCCACCCCGCCGTGCACACACTGCCGGGCCTCCCCGGCCGGCCTCGAGCCTCCCGCCTCCGGGCAGCCCGGCCCAGCCCGGCCCGCTAGGCCCCGACACAGGCCCCGCGGCCTCAGCCGACCCTTCTCCTCACCGTGCCGTCTCCCTGGCACTCTTCCCGGGGCCCCTCCGCTTCCTCGCCAGCCAAGGTCTCCAGGCCAGCAGTGGGGTGACCCAGCGGCTCTATGGGCGCCGGCTGCAGCTGGCGCTCGGGGTCGGTAGGTGCCTGCTCCATAGCTGCGGTCGGGCGCAGGGGATGGAGTGCGCCTGCGCCGCCGCGCCCCGCCCACGAGCCCCGCCCCTACACTCGGGCCCGCCCCTTCCCTCCCCTCCGGGAGTCGCTCGTGGCGCGGGAGAGGTAGCGGGCTCTCGCGGCTAGGGTGGGGGAAAGCAGGGTCTGCAACGCTAGTCTACCACTGATCCAGAAGATGGAGGAAGGAAAGACGGGAAGGCGAGGGTAAGGTCTTGGAGCCGTTCAGGTTAGTGATTATCTAAAGGAAACACGAAACTCAAGAGAAATAGGCGTAGTTTGACCTCTGTTTCAGCCTCTCTCCTGCATGCCATTCTTTAATAATTCTATTTCTCGCCCGGAAAGATTAGCATAAATTATTAACTTGGAGCAGGTTGGGTAGCCCCTTCACTAAAAGGGAACAATTCCAAGTGTTTGAGTGAAGTGGTTGAGTTCTACTGAAGTGTTTCCTGAAGCCCTGGAGATTTTCTTATAATTTTGTGCAGACATTTTTTTTTAAATAATAGTTTATTTTTACATCATTTTGTGCCTTTTTCCATCTCAGTTATAATCCCTGTGGGCTTCCCATCACCAGATCACCCGTGTGCCATCACCATAATCCAGTGCACTTCTCTCCCCACACCATAAAATGTCTCCCATTCCACCCCAGTAAAATGTCTCTAATATATAGTTGTTCATTATTATTATATTCTTGCCTGATCTTTTATTCTCATGCTATGAGTGAAACCATCTGGTATTTTTCCTTTTCTTTCTTGCTTATTTCACTAAGCTTGATCTTTTCCAGCTCCATCCATGTTATGCAATTTTTAAAAGGTTTATTTTTATTTATTTATGCATACAGAACTGGGGTGCAAGCCAGAATGAGGGGCAGATAAGAGATTCACCAGAGACAGAGTGGGGAGCAGAACAAGCATATCTGCTGAGCTGAGAGGAGCAGTGGGGGATACTGATCTACTGTGCCTTGTTGGTCAGCTTCCTGGGTGGGGATCCAAATTCTTGCTGCAGTGGCTGTAGACAGCTTCATAGTGCTTAGACTTGACCACTTGCACCACCAGGGAGGCCCCTGGTTCCAGTTTTTTGGAACTTGCTTTATTAACAAGCATTCACTATGATAACCTGTCAGGAAATCACACTGGGTGTGCCAGACTTTGGTACCTGGGGGTACCTTCTCTTCAAAGTCTTATTTTACAGATTGCATGTTCATTGTGAGAAAATAGGTAAGCATTAAAATAAAAGTTATCAATACTCTAGCATCCAAATATAAAGTCAACATTTAACATATACCCTTCAAATATTATATATATACACAGAAATAATGGAATCACTAAAATGCTGTATCATTTATTCATGAAATAAAAGAATCCCTATAGTTACAATTTAAATTGACCCCAAGCTTTTTTTTTTTTT